GTCGCAGACTTTTCCCATATTACAAAAGCGCTGTCCCTGGGATTTGAACATGGGATCTTCCCATAACGTTTGGTGAGAGTGACAACTAGACCACTTTACTAAGTCGCCACACCTCTTTTAAAACATATATTTCTAAAATACTTAAATACTATCTATATATATATTATATTTAATATATATTTTAATTATTATTTATCATATTACTTATCTCAAAGTTTTTTTTATTAATTAATACTAAACAATAAAGCTATTTTCATATGAAATCGATATCTATGCAAAATTTCGTAAAAAAATAATTGCCAAAAATTCTTGATTAAACCATTATACACTAATAATACAAATATTATCTTTTACGTATAATCTCAACAAACTTATTCAAGATTTGTCTAACAAAGAAAAATATCCTCTTTAAAGCTTCAGATCCAATTCATTTATTCTGCTCTATACATTTCTTCTCTGCAAACATCCTTCATTTTTGGCAATATAACTATTTGTACAAAGTACAAATTAAACTATAAAAACCCATTGTCGAACTATATTAATTAATGCCAACTCAATCTATCTGATTTTTTACTCAATTCCATCTCTAACTGGTAACTACTAGTTTTTTCAGAATCTGTTAATCCGATTTGAATGCTTTTAATACCAATCTCAAAAAAAACTCAAATCAGATTACTAGATCCCAAGATTATTCGGAAATCGCTTAATAAATCTATTCGACTTTACTGTTTTAAGATCTCTTAAATAAACAAGAATAATGCTTTTATAAAAAAAGTTAGTCCCATATTTAAAACATCACAAATCAGAATAAATCAAATAAATCACTACTCGATTAAAAATTATATCTCCAATTTAAATAATAATACTCATTTTTTATTACTCTTTTAAACCATATATAATAAACAAATAAATTCATTGTTCAATTTTTAATAATTATCTTTACATCTTTTCAAGTGTGAATTTTATAACTTGTTACTCTCGTGTAATAACACGAAAAAATTGAAAAATGATCTAATTTAAGTATATATGAATGAGGTATATACCAAAATCCACTCCAAATCTAATTAACTTCTCGTACCTGATATCGCAATCTAGACTCGTAAAAAATTCAAAAAAAAAACTACATTCTGACTATCAACATATCAAATATTGATATAAACTTGATTGTAATTACCGAATCATAAATCATTCACTTATATATCCGTCTAAAAATAAATGAATAAGTCATTATTTAATATTTAATAATTATCTTTTACATCTTTTCGAGTATGAATTTTAAAACTTGTTACTCTCATGTAATAACAAGAAAAAAATTGACAAATGATACAATTTAAGTATATATGAATAAGATATATACTAAAACCTACTCCAGATCTAATTAACCTCTCGTATCTAATATCGCAATCTAAACTCGTGAAAAATTCAAAGAAAAAACTACATTCCGCACTATCAACATATCAAATATTGATATAAACTTGATTCTAATATCTGATTATAAATCGTTCACTTATATATCAACCTAAAAATAAACGAATAAGTCATTGTTCAATTTTTAATAATTCTCTTTTACATCTTTATGGGTGTGAATTTTAAAACCTGTTACTCTCGTGTAATAACAAGAAAAAAATATGATTTAAGTATATACAAATAAGGTATATACTAAAACCTACTCCAAATCTAATTACCTTCTCATACCTGATATCGCTATCTCGACTCGTGAAAAATTTAAAAAAAAACTACATTCCACACTATCAACATATCTATAAACTTAATTGTAATTACCTGCTCAAATATCGTTTACTTATATATCACCCTAAAAACAAATGAATAAGGTCATTGTTTAATTTTTAATAATTCTCTTTTATATCTTTTTTGAGTATAAATTTTATAACCCGTTACTCTCATGTAATAACAAGAAAAAAATTAAAAATGATACGATTTAAGTATATACAAAAAAATGAAGCATATACAAAGTGCTACTAAAATCTTCTCCAAATATTATTATCCTAATATTGCAATCTTAACTCATGAAAAAATTTCAAAAAAGAAACTACATTCCGCGCAATCAATATATCAAAGATTGATATGATAACCTTCATTATTATTTACCATATTATAAATCGCTCACTTAAAATGTTGCCCTAAAAATTAAAATATTACCCTAAAAATATTCTCAAACATATAAAAGAGACAATTAATAAAACAAAAATCAAAACTTTTACCCTTTAAACTCTTCTAATAATCTATCCAGTACAATAAAATCAACTTGATTTTCTATTCATAAAAAAATTTTTTTTTTACTCAACAAAACTATGTCCTCGGTATTTGTATCTTTCTACTTTGTTAAAACTATTTCTGCAAGTAAAAAATTCTTAACTAGAAGCGCCCTATATCATGTGAACAATAAAGATGATGAATTTAGAGAATTTACTTTTAAGGGTTTCACAGCAACTCCTGAAACTTTAATTACAGACTTTGAAAAAAATTTCATCATTCTTATGATCGGACACTATGTTTATGAAGATACCAAATATATATTTTAAAACTTATTAATTCTTATTAACATATTGTATCTTTGCATACTACTAACGTTATCCCATAAAATAATAAAGCTTACTCTCATTCAAACTGTACCTATTTCTTCCTCTGCTAACAATGCTTTGCTTACTCCTGAAGACCTCTCCTATGCCTCTCCTTTCCTTTTATTCTCTGCTCCTATTTTACAAAATTCTTTCTTATCCCTTGATGGAAATAAAGAATGCTTTATATTAACAAAAAGATTGTATAACGGAGTGAACAACCACAGAAACATCGAAGCCAAAATTACCGTATCCTATGACAATTTAAACAACCAATATGATGCTATCAAAAATAATATAAAAAAGACAGTTATGTCTGTTATAGGTCAATTAAAAATTGGTAAAAAAAAACACCCCATATTATCGCTTCAGATATAAAATAGAACTATGCTGGGTCCAAGTCCAAAGCATCCAACGTTTCTAGTGAAGGAAAACAAAAATCAAAACAAGATTTCAATACTCTCCTTGAAAGTATTGAAGAAAAATATGTAGCTATGAATTCTTTGAATAAAAGGCAAAGAGTAAACTTGACATCTACCTCAAGATCAAATTCATCAAGAGAAACAGCAACGACAATGAATTTTATGAACACCATTTCGCAGGTTAAAAATGGCGTCTCTTCAACACAAGAACCCATTGAAGAATCCACTAATCAAGAAGTTACTACAAAATAAATGTTAAATATACATGTTTAATGCCATATAAACTCAAAATAACACCTAAATATATTATTTTAGATAATACCTCAAATTATCTTTGTTCAAGAAATTTTCCAAATAAAAATTTAATTACTAAATGATCTAGGAGGTAGCTCTTTTCTCAAAAGAATTATAAAATATATTAATATCTAAATGTATTATAAACAATTATTGTAATCTAATAAAGTACGCTTAAATGCATATTAGAAAAAAAAAAAAAAATACTTGCTAACATTATCCCCACTTCACTATCGATTCTTTTATATCTATGTGTTATAGCTGCCTCAATTTTCTTATATGTAGCCTTATCCATTTCTACCTTTTCTTGTACCTGCATTGCCTTCCAACACAATTTTGTGTAACTTATCTACTCCAGTAATGCTTCTTTTTCATTTACATTACAATCCAACATGGGTACATCTGCCTGGTATATACTATTAATATGATCAATCTCACTATTCACCTCTGCATTGTTAATTAATTGTCCTTTATATGTTGTAGCTTTTTTTACTCGCTGAATTAACTTACTTAACTTGACTATCACCTTGTGTAAATCAGTTGGCTTATACTTTCTTGTTCTATTATTTGAGCTATGAGGTACTTTCTTTTTTGAAATATTTTTATCTGCCACTCTTCTAATTGCACCTGCTAAAATGTTCCAACTTAGATCAAGTTTGCTAGGTGTAGTCATTGCCCAACATCTTGTAAGCGCTCTATTATCAGCTATAAACTTTTTGAGGTCTTCTTGATATTGTTTTCAATCATCATTCGTTGCTTTATCATACAAATAGATGTTTCTTGAGAGCTCTTTCTTCTTTTCGGTTGCTGCACTACCTGCATTGCCTTCCAACACAATTTTGTGTAACTTATCCACTCCAGTAATGCTTCTTTTTCATTTACATTACAATCCAACATGGGTACATCTGCCTGGTATATACTATTAATATGATCAATCTCACTATTCACCTCTGCATTGTTAATTAATTGTCCTTTATATGTTGTAGCTTTTTTTACTCGCTGAATTAACTTACTTAACTTGACTATCACCTTGTGTAAATCAGTTGGCTTATACTTTCTTGTTCTATTATTTGAGCTATGAGGTACTTTCTTTTTTGAAATATTTTTATCTGCCACTCTTCTAATTGCACCTGCTAAAATGTTCCAACTTAGATCAAGTTTGCTAGGTGTAGTCATTGCCCAACATCTTGTAAGCGCTCTATTATCAGCTGTAAACTTTTTGAGGTCTTCTTGATATTGTTTCCAATCATCGTTCATTGCTTTATCATACAAATAGATGTTTCTTGAGAGCTCTTTCTTCTTTTCGGTTGCTGCACTACAAGCACGAACTAAATGCCTCATTGCAATACTTACTGTTATTATCGCATGATCACTTGCTGTTATTATATCTGCTTCCTCAATGTTGATCACTAATAACCTATATTTCAGATCTTCAGATACTCATATCTGATCAATTCTCATTACAACATCTTGGCCAAACCATGAATACTTTATAAGATCTAAATTGGCTATTCTAAAAGTATCAACAAAACCTTGATTTTTAAACTATTTGTGCAGTGGGAGAGACTTAAATGTTGAACTGCTACTATTACTGCACTTATCTAATTCTCGGTCTACAATGTGATTAAAATCACCCATTACTACAAATTGTATATTATTCATTCTTTGAATAAAGCTTGTTATAATCTTCTTTGGACCCTATTAATTAATGTCTTGTCACTTAGTAACAAGTATACTACTATAACTACCACTATTGTCTGTTTAAAATAAAACCATGCTTCAATTATATACTTCTCAAATCTAAGAACCTGCCCTAGGTGCCTTTCCCAACAAGGGCCAACTAGCAGACCTACACCTGAACTCTTTTTTTTTGTTACCTTATATTGCAACCAGAAACCCTTCATATTAACGCCTTCCAAACTAAACTTTAAGTTTCTCTCACATGAATTTGTCTCAACTAATCCCAATAAATCCATTTCTTTCTCAATTGCCCACTCAGTAAATGTTTCTAATTTGACTTTTTTACCTCTTATTTCATTGATATTGTGACATGCTATATTGACTTGACACTCTCTTTCATTCTCATTTACCCTACCTTTATTGTCCATCATATTGCTGAGGGTACTACTTTGCCGGACATACAAACTATCTTGTAGTCTCTCAGTTTCCATAAAAGTGCCTATGGCAATCTTAGGAGTAGTTGGAGCCAGCAGCCCCAAAATGTCTTTTCTTAATTCTGTCAAGCCTACTAAGTATTTCATTGAAGATACTTCTAAACTTTAGATCAAGATCACTCTTTGTGTTTTCAGTTTTAGCTCATTTTCCTTTAAAATTTGCTAATGATCCTTTTACCTTGGGGTCACTATTTTCTTTATTATCTTCTGTGCACTTTTATGTGTACTCTCCACCATTTGCTGCCTCTTCTATTTTTTATTTTTGCTCATTGTTAGCTTTGGGCCTCGGAGTTGTCTACATTTTCACTCGTTTCTTCTATAACTTTCGCTTTTTTACTTCTATTCTGTGCATTAATCCACTTCAGCTTAATATCAAAGTAATATACCTCTCTTGTTAATGCTTTCTCCAATTCCTCACGTGACCAAAATATACTGTTGCTATGCATCTTTAATTCTGATTTCTGTTATAAAAAATGTATACTGCCTTCGCATTTACTACTTTCAATTGATGCAGTAATAGCATTTCAACTACTGATTTTGGAATGTTCTTAACAACTACTTTATATGATGCTCTTTCTTCAAGTATTGCTTTCTCAAAACTCCTCGGTGTACCCTACATGTTTTCCCTTTCTCAAAGTGAATTGCCTATGAATGCTTAAAATCTTTCATTCTCTTTTCACTCCAAAATTTAATTGAGAATTCAAGTGCTTTGCTTTTGCTGAAAGGCCTTCACTGTACAAATTTTGTTTTACCATAAAAATGAATGCATCTGCACACCTGTGCTGGATATGTTTTCAGTGGTATGTCTCATATTGTATGGGTCTCAATTTGTGCAATACTTCTATTATGTCTAGTTGACTAGCTGTTTGCTATAACATCAACTTTTTTTAACTTCAACAGGTACTGCTTTTATATTTAAAGGCTCTACTACTATTGCATGTTGACCTTCACTAACTTGTACAACATTAGCTTCAATATCTGCTTCTTCAACTATACTTTTTTCTACTAGTTTAGGACTTTGTTTGTCAACTGACATTACCCATGATTCTCCAAAATCTTTACTGTTTTTACATGGTGTAATTTGGCCTTTTTTCCTTTACTTATATCAAGATCATCATCTTGCTGCTTACTCTTCTCTGGTACTATTGCAACTGCTTCTTCAAGCATGATCACTTGCTTACTATCCTCTTCTAGTCTAGGTACAAACTTCTTATTGGCTTAGATCTCTTTAATCCCATAATCAATACAACCAGTCTCATGGGCTAACAAACTTTCAGTGTTCTGCTCTTTCGTAGCTGATGCTATACTCTCATCACGGCTAGTTAGGGTGCAAAACGGACCGGGTTGGGTCGGGCTTTCTAAGACCCGAAACAGAGCCCAAAAAATTTTTTTAGGCCCGATTCAAGCCCGAGCCCGACAAAAAGCCCGTTAAACAAACCGGGCCGGGCCTTATTATAAATCGGGCTCAAGCCCAACAAAAAAGCCCGCTAAGCAAACCGGGTCGAACTTTATTTTAAATTCAGCCCAAGCCCAGCCTGGCTCGTATTTCATATAGATTTTTGACTCTGACGGCAGATAATGCTATCGGAAATCGTATTAAAACCTTTTTTAAGAGCTGATAGTATAGTGTTAAATACCGATAGCATGGATAATAATATATTCGAAATGTCACACAGTTGAAAATTTTTATTTAA